TTGCACCGTTTGTGCAAAGCATATGATGTGCCTCTGAAGGAACGCTGAAGGAACGTATGGAGCATGTCAGCTACTGAAGTGTCCCTGGTGTCCTTGCCCCAGAAATTAGGTGGTCTTGTGTGCTCTTGTGTGCGCACCCAGGACTACACTGGAGGTGCTTCAGCGACATCTAGGTGCATTCATCCTTTTTCTTAAAAGCATATGCTGGCAACCCTCTTTCCCCAGTTACCCAGCCCTTTCTCAGGCCCTCATATTTGTACTTGGCAGATGTCATACAGGGCAGAACAAGAAAAGAAAACTGTGTTGGGCAGTGCTTAGTGGCTTCCAGACAGAGCTCAACACCCAACCTAGTGTTTAGACATCTTTAAGCTACCCCTCCACAGTACAAGACTTGAAGGCTGTGCCTAGTGTATGACTTTGTGAGCAACAGCAGTCGCGGAAAGGTTCGTCAAGCATCAGCAAACAGAATCAGGATGAGGGGAACGGTCATACTACTCTTTTGTGCTGAAAGCAGTTTTGGCAAGCTCTGTTTCCAAGCGTTCTAACATCATGAACTTTTTTGTGTGCTGATGAAAAAATGTATATCACTTTTCCATAGCAGAATGAAAAAATATCCTACATTTTTATGAACTGCAGGAATAGAGAGAGAGGGGACAGACGACCAAGAACAAGAGAGCATTTTCTGTCAGTCACGCCAGTACTGTAGGGTAAATATTGTTACATTTGAAGACACTGATAATGTCTAGTGGAGTGGAGAGTTCATCTGCCTTTCTTATGGTGCTACGTACCTCAGGGACATCCTCATTAATAGTAAATTTGCTCACTCTAAATGGGTTCTTAATGGACTGGTAACAATCAAGGTTACTAGTTTTCTAAATGGCTGTTATTTGTGTATGTGACCCACAAATGGCTACTGTGTGGTTTGCTAGGGAAATCAAAGCAGGAAATGGCCATATTTTTGCCATTCTGCGTTTAAAATAGTATCATCTCCCTCTAGGAAAACAGTTTTTTGGTGAATCTAGTGATTTTTTTTTTTATTTGATTCTGATCCAAAGCAGTTGAAGTTGGAAATGTTTGCTTCCCCTCTTCCATTTGTCCCCCCATACGCTATAGAAATGTTCCTTTGGTAAGCTAGGTAGAAGTTGCGATGCAGAGAGTAGCGGGACAAAGAGTTCCCTCTTCCTCGCGTGCAGCTGTGCTCGTTGTGCAGCCTGACTCCTTTTTCAAGTCTGTTTGCCAAGACTTGAACCAATTTGACCTGTCATTCGTGTGCAGCTGCCATAGCTGGCTCTATATTTATACTTCAAATGAACTTAGCAAACTCGTATGCCTTTAGAACACTATCCTAGTATAAAGTCTCAGTAACTCAACTACTAATTGCATTAATAATCCTTCTCCACAGAAAATTCCTTCACATTCTTCTATGGAAGCTTCTTACATTTTTCTTATCTGCATAATATATAAATTTCTCTCTGCATGGTTGCTGGTCTTAAGATTTTGACATCAAGCCTAGGAATGCAGCAAAATAGTTGGCTGAATCAAAGAACCATTTTTCTTGGATCTGCCTCAGAAAGCAGCATGCAAGTTGAAATTTCATTTTTAAATGTAACTTCTCCCTCTTGGAACAGATTCACTAAAGTCAAAGTCTCACTTTTTATAGTCACAGTAACTGTTTCTGGATTTTCAAAGTCAATTCAGCTCTAAGCTGAAGTAATTATGGCACATGCTATAAACCACAGGCACTGTAAACTCAGCACGGATTGCTGTATCACCATCTTGAAAGCATATCAATCTACTTTTACTCTAATTTGTTATACACATTGTTTCTCTAGTTGTTTTTTCTTACCCTTACATTCATCTGTTAAAGAAATGAGAAGGGAGCCTGTTACCAGTTCATAAGAAGATAGGCCACTTTTACCATGAAATTTAGAATTAATATGGCTTTAGAATAAAAATGAATAGTTGTACGTTTTTATCCATGGTGTTTCTTCTATTGGAAAGCAATACACTAATAATTTAAGGCTATTATTAATTACATGGGATTATTACTACTGCTATCAATGAGTATCCATTGGCAACACCAGTTACTGTTCAACTCACTCCTGAATGTGTATAAAACATACAGTATGGATTTTTTTTTCATACTAGGCATTGAAGAAGTAGGCAGGGAAACTTGGATTGTTTTTTCTTTAGGGTCTGGCAGATAATGAAAGAACAAACCACTTGCAGTGCTGCAGACCTGAACATTTCCTTGGTGCTTAAAAGATTTACAGAGACATTCTTTTTCATTCTTTTTTCCCCATTTTTACAAGTGTTTGCTCATCCTGCATCTGCCCAGGCCTGAATATGAAATGCCAGACTACCACAAAAAAGGCTAGACATGCAAAATTTTTCCACCCGACCAGGAACTGAAAGTCTCATGAGACAGCTTGCAGATTTCCAGCTCAAACTTGTAGAACTAAGATGTTTACATAATTTTATATAAGGTGGGGCTATAGATACAGGGGATGGTTAGCTATACTAGTAGCCAAATTTTCAAAGTTGCTCGGCAGATGCAACATTTGAGCCTTCAGAGCCTTACGGATGGTGACAAAATAGTTGGTCAAAAACAACTAGGAGAAAGGGTCAGAAGACACTTTATTGCCTTTTGACTTGTTTTTAGCAATTTTTAATTTTAGACAATTTTTACCACTGCACATTGCAGCTTTATCTGGCTTTTCTAGGTGGTAGCCATTCAAGACTTCAAAACAGCTCGCAGTACATAACTTTAGTGTTCAAGTCTGCAAACCAGAGTGTTTGAGTAACTGTAATATAATGTCTGTAGGTGTGAGGTAGGAATAAAGACTTGATCCTCATCTTCATAAGGAATGATGGAGTTCTGGTTCTACTGGGCTATAAATTAGATCACTGAATGGGAAAAGGAAGGGAGAGTTGAACGGGTCCTACCACAGGTTCTGCTGCATGTTAAACATTTATCGCTTATTATGTGTATTTTTATTTTCTAAGTCAGGCTATTCTGAATATAAAGAACAGCTTCATAAAACTCAGTAGCTTCAAAGGAAAAGAATCTCCACACTAAAGATCTCCACACTGAAGTTTCTTTGATGACAGAAAAAAAAAGATATTTTTGCCTGGGCCACTGTCCCTAAGGAGATGGGTGCAGTGAGCATGCTATTTGCACTTCGATTGTGAATGAAAGTTCATTAAAAAGCTCTCATTGACTGTGGATGGCATATTCCAGGACCAACAGCAAGTATTCTAGCCCTAAAATAGTGTAAGATGGAACAAAGTCAAGGGCTGTCACATATGGTGGGTTGTTTTGGGAATCCCTAAAAGATATGGGTCTTGGAAACCCAAAAGAAAAGAATCAGTGGGCTTACAAAGGGCACATTTTTTGAAGAAAAACTATATATTATTTCATATATAATTGTTTTCTAAAATACTTGCTGACCACAAAACAGTGTGGTTTATTGTTACTAATAGATGAAGTTACCTGTAAGAGCCTGTTCCTTCCTTCCTATACTAAGATGTAGCAAAATGGAAGAGGCATTTCTTCACCACAGCACCAGTATATTTTAAATAGAGGCAAAGTGCGCTTTATGAGGAAATGAGAGAGGGCCCAAAATGCCTTTTAATTTATTTTTATAATAAATATCATTAAACAGAATTTTGAAGCCATATATTTTTACTTTGTATGTAATGCTTATAATGTAAAAAGGAGCCATTTCATGAAAAGGTTGAAATAAGCAGTTGCTAACAATGAAGTCACTATTTTATTGAAATCTGATCAACTTTCCTGGATAATTTGAGATTTTTTAACAACATTTTTCAAGACTGAACAGAAAAAAAGGAACCTTAAGTTTGGCAGAAATGAGAAATGATTTCTGTGGCAGCTTGATGTGGACATGGAAAACCTGTTTCAAACTATTCATTGCTCCGCCTCTCACAAACTATTTATTATGTACTATAAATTACATGTAACATGTAACATAAAAATTAAATAGAATTGTTCTGGAACCATAGATAGAGATTGAGAGTTAATTAAATGAATGCATGGGGAAAAATGTGTGTGAGATTCAGGACTAGGGGTTCCCTGCTGTACCTGTTTAATGAAGTCTCATCCATCTGATGACTCCTGGACCAGCTCTTCAACACTTCCACAAAAATGTCACTTTCTTTATGGGGGAAAAGTGTGGAATGTGCCTTACCCACATCAAGTACACCATTTTACAATTCCAATCCAATTAATTAAGCCTCTGTTCTTCATGCATGAGTGGCCATCTTTCAGTTACACACCCAAGGCAAAGCTCCAAGGGGGCCAGCCAGCCAGCCAAAAAAGAGAAGGTACATTCCCAGCTCTCATTTACTTAAATACGTGTTTTTGGTAGAAACAAAATGTTGAAAATGACTTCAAATAAAAGCATGTATATTTCTCCAGGGCCGGAGCCTCAATAACTTATGTCTCAGGAAAATGAGCTTTTATTATTATTATTTTTATTTTTAATGCAGAGTTGTAATTAAAGCAGGGAGGAGAGGACAGCCTCCTCTGTGAATGAGAAAATTAGAGTCAGTGTAGAGAGATGGGAGGGTAGAAGGAGATTTCTGATGCGTGATTAAATGAGGAGGCAGTATGGTAAGGGCAGATGAGACACAGCACAGTGGGAGTATGGAAAGCATGGTGAAAGAAATAAACAGAAGACAAGATGTTAAAGTACCATAACCTGACTGCACTCCTGAAGAGTTAAAAATGAACTGTTCATCTATCAGGGAAACCATACATACAGGGGGGGATCTGATTCCAATCCCACCTCACTGGGTAGGAATGTTGCTGTTACCTGATTAAGGGAGAATAGCAGTACTGCGCTGTTATTTTTAGCACTCAGCCTTAAGTATTTTTCCTACAGACCATCTTTCATTGGAGTTTTAAAAACTACTATGCTATATTTTAGTAATTAAACAGGATCCCTTCATTTATGCACTTGTTTGTTTATTTTACTTAGACTCGTCAAAACTTCAGACGGATTCACTGCATTGTCTGGACACTGGAGATCCAGTTCAGGTAAACACATGCTCAAGTTCTCTCTTGTTCTGAGAGCTCATTCCAGAATGAAAATGCACATTACAAGTAACAGCATCTATAAAAATACCGTGCCTGCCATGTCAACATAACCAGTATGTCTATGTGAGGTCATACACAGATGACCTCTTCCAAAATTGGCCAAAGTAGTAGAAAATGTTGCAGCTCTCTCCTGTTAGTGTCCACCAAGTGCTGCTCTCTATTGCAAGAATCGTGTTAGTGCTGCCCAAAGGCAGTGGCTGTCAACGTGAATAGTCAGTCATTTTAGTAAAAAAAACATGGTGGCCATTCTGGACTTGTCAGAGGAGTTTGGGGCAGGGGAGTAGGAGCTTGCAGGCCTTGCTGGTTCTATAGCACCTTCTTTCCCTGACAGTAGTTTCTGTGCCAGTATGTACAAAAAGCCAGTGCAGCCATGTCCCTGACAGGTATTAGTGGGCCAGAATATTTTACCTGTTGCAGTAACATGTTAGAACTTTTTTTACACTTTTCTGCAAAGGAGAGATTTCCCAAATGACACTGCATTTTCTGACTGGCTTGCAAATTCATGGAGTTTCTACTGTTTACATATCTCTTCAATCTGTCATCATTGATGCTAGAAGGCAGAAATCTGAAACAGGAAGGAAAAGTTGACAAGTCCTAAAATTAAAAAGCTATTAATTGAGCTATTTATTTGAGTTGTTCTTCCATTGCAGTATTGTACTCCGGAAGACGAATGTTTAATTTATTTTGGATAAAGGGATTCAATTTGTGATAATGCCATGAAAATATAATATCCTTACAAACTCAGATTTCTCATAGGAAAATGTTAATGAGTGTTTTCTGTTACGTAAAAGATACTGTGTAACAGAGCTGGTTGAATATTGCCCAAACAACGTTTCTGAACATTTGTCAGAATTGCTGTCTGATTCAAGAAAATTCATATCCCATTGCACTCACTATTTGCCAACATCTGCATGAACAGTTTTTGTTTAGGTAGAGGTTTGTTTATTCCCTAATATGTATCAGTTTGTTCAGACTTCAGCCATAACGTTTGAGAAAAAGCATTCACTTTTTTTAATTCATTCTTGTCATTCAGAATTCTCCGCATTCAGAGAACAGATACAGTATCAAGTGATTTAAATGACCAGCCACAGTGATAGTTACAAATAATCACTGTCTGACTTTGCAGGCAACCTGTAGGATGAAAATTGTTCATTTAAATGCGAGCGTGCTTGATTTTATGCAAAGTCGAGTTTAGGTATTATTCATCTGCAGAAACACAGGAAGGATCAATGCCTGATTATCAAATGCAATTAATAAACATGTTGCCAGAATTCAGGCCTGGTCCACAAAATATTTATTAAAGGAGAAAGTCAAAATGTTATCACAACTTCTTCACAGTAATTAATTAAACATCAAGCATGTATTGTTTAATAGAACAAAAATATTTTTTTCTCATTCCTAAGTGTTTTCTTTTCAAAATACAAGGAAAGCACAAAGAACTAAGCTTTACTTTTGTTTGGATGCATTGTCAGCATTACAGTTTTAATCAGAGCACTCGATCAGAATTGGGTCTTCTTTGCACCTCTTGCTGTAGAAGATATTAATTGCCACAAATGCATAACCTAAATTTATTTCAACAAGCTAAATACCTCTAAAATAATGAGAACATAGTTCATCAGGTCCTCCCTAAATTATATGGTACAGCTCACCAGCAAGCACTGTATTCTCTCTAAATGCTAAAATTTTAATATTTTAATATTAAAATATGGGACATATTTTAATAACCTAGTTAGGGCTTTATTTGAGCTGGAGGAATTGTTGTTTTTGAAATTGCCATTGTCTTCATAAGAAATACTTTTACTTGTTTTTTAAGTAAAGTAATTAGTATTGGGAAAAAAAACCTCTAAAATGTGATGTGTAGCCAATGCAATAAGTAATACCTGAGTTTGTGAAGAGCCTGAGACAACAGCACTGAAAAGTGGGATTTGTTCACATACCCCATGATAATAATCTGAAAAAGTTAAATGACAGCCTTTGTAACTGTTTTACTATCCCTAAGACTGATAAGAAAGGGTCAATAAAATATCAGTGGTCTCACATGAGCTGATTTTACAGTGCTGCAGTTGGCCCGTTCCTGGTCTAGCCAAACCTCCTCTCCACATGCATATAGGTATGTTACTTGGCTTTCTATAGCATGTTTTTAGACTCCATCAACAAATGACATTTTGGTATCTGTCTGAATTGCAGTGAACTGTCACAGAATGAAGCAAGATCAGTAAAAAGCAGTCAGTACAGGTAATCTGTTTCTGCTCTAAAGTGTCCTAGCAACCTCTTCTGGGAAAGAGAGCTTCTGAATCACATATGCCACAGCCTTAGCGGCTTGTAGTCTGAGTTCGTGATAGACTTTGGACTAGTCCAGAACAGGAGCATGGCTCTTAGCCCAGATTTATCATAAGCATTCTCTTGTCCGTTCGCAATGTGGAAGCATCTAAACCGTTTCTCTCCCATTCTGTTCTCGAAAGTGATAAGAAAATAATTTTTTCCATCTCAAAGTAACTACATTATCAAGAGCAATAGATCTGGACAAACCTAACTGTGATCTTGAATTGAAATTTTGGATTGAAATAGCAGAGATTTAGGTGACGTTGCACCTACAGACCAGCACAAGCCTTATGGTTGTTGCCCATGCACCGAACCAAACTTGTAGATACAAAACACCTTGAACTCTGGAACAGTTCAAATTTGTGTTTCTATGTCTTTCCAGTGAACCCAGCACCAGTTTTAAGTTTCTTATGATTTTGGGGTTTAATTATAAACATTTTCGCCATTCTACCCATGTATTATTTAATTTACTGTGAACTTAGTTATTAATTGTTGGGCTATTTTTTAACTGTATTGAGGATTTTGTGTAAAGCTCTTTGGCTGTGTTTGTTTTAAGAGCCCATGAATCTTACTCTGTTTTAATGGATTACTCAGACTAAGACATTTAGTAATGTGTCGAACTGTGTTGGTGTTTTGTTTTTTATTTTTTTAAAGAACTGTCATCTTAGTCTGCAGTTTTTTAGTGATATTAATTAAGAAGCAGAGTACTCAGTAGATTAAAACAGTAGTTTCCTTTACCAAAAATCATCCAAAGCATTCTCTTATTCCTTTGCTTCCTTCTTACTGATAGCCTCCTCCTATTGTCTGGATTGATCTCATCATTTATCCACTCCAGAAGGATATTTTCTCAGGAAACTGATTATTTTTGTTGAGGGGAAAAAAGCAAAATCTATTTTAATGATTTTGCTGTTTTAAATAAAACTAATTATTTTTCATAAAATGATGGTTCCTAATATAGCATATTTCTTCATACTAACAGTTTTCTCATTGTTGACTCTTCCTCCATCAATTCTCCCCCCCTCCTTTAACAAAATAACAAAAACAGATTACTGTAAATTTTGGCACAGAAAGGTATTTGCATCATTTTCTTAGAAGTCACATGCTTTGGATTTCCTCTTGTTTATGATATATTGAAATGTCTTCCAGATGTTTTTAATTATAAAAAGTTTTCAGGAAAGCAAAGTAATCCGTAATAAAATTTCCTCTACATTTTTTAAAATAGCCAATAAATTAGTGTACTGTAGCTTATCAAACTGCCACATAATTCTACATTTGACCCCTGTGCAGTGAGGTCTGGCATTTCCTTAGACAGCTAGTTCGGTCGGAGGCAAAGCAGGCTTCCCCAGGCATGCTTTCAGTTCCTTTTCCAAGGGAGAAGGCCCCTTTCCTGGGGCCAAGCCTGCAGCGTGAGCGCTCATTGGTGCGAGCGGCTCGAACTTCCTACGCAAACATAACCACCTCTGCCGCATCAGCCTGAGAGAAGCAGGCTTGTGACATGGGATATTCCCAAGTTTGGATTCAGGACAGAGAGGGAGAGAGAGAGAGAGACACTATTTGAGCTGCTAGTATGTGATGCTGATGCTGTGCTGCACGAGGAGGTTTTCATTTAAGAATTTTGGATGGGTGCCCAGATTGCTATGGTAAAATCTGGAAGAAAACACAGTAAGGAAAAGAACGTCAGATCAGTTTTCAGGGATGTAGATATGGAGGAAGAAAGGCTTTAATCATAAAAGACATTTTCACATGGTCAGAGAACTAAACAATGGACAAGAGCTATGAATCGTTAAAAATCTTGACTTAATCTACCCCTGTATTAATTCAGGCAACTATCTGTTCTTAATGAAGTACCGGACTAGGGTAGTTACTGTGGGCCTGTATTTCTATTAGGAATTAAGGTGGGCAGGACAAGAGGAAATAGAAACCAACTTTGCTACTTCTGTGACTGATTTTTCAAGGGGAGAGGGTCTTTTTTTCTCATAAACCTGTAATTAAAAAAAAAAAAAACAAGACCCGAAAGAAAGGTATCGCTGTGAAAACTTTTTTGGTGAGTTATTCAGCATTGAATGAGAATTTGTTATTGCTTCATGGGTTTAGTGATCTTTATGGATTTTTTGGTTTGTCCTACCTACTGTAAGTTGTAATACGCAAACCTCTTTCTGGGAAATATGGGCTCCAGATTTGCTATAGCCTGTATTCTGAAAGGTGGAGGTGCAAAAAAGGAAGTGTGTGTGCTTCAGAGGAGAATTTGAGGCATTAGGTCAAACTGTATGATGTTAGGAACTGTGAAAGCATGAGGAGTATATAGGGCCCTAATGGACTAGATCACTCCTTGCTTGTCAGAATCAGTATCGTTCCAAAGGCCTGTAAAGGGAAGGAATCAAACCAAAGAACAACTCTGTATAGGATTTTGTTTTCTCAGAGAGACTAAACACAGCGGGACTTGCAGTTAAAGCAAATTGCTGCTACATTGCTTTCCCACATTATCCCCCGTCCCTCATGGTATAAAATGGCATCTGAATGGCAAAAGTGAGCTCTTGGCTCTTTGCTTGCACCACCAGAGACTCTTGCCTGTTTTCACTAATTTGTTTTAAGTATTATTTCGTATAATATATTTGTAA